GTCCATTAGCTTTTTCCTCTCACTACCCATTGTGATGTGGGTGTTTGGCGTGGGCCTGCATTCGTTTGCTAGGTCTCTGGCAAACACTTACCACAATCGACACACACACACACACACACACACACACACACACACACACACACACACACACACACACACACACACACTCAAGTCAGTTCAAGACTTCACATTTGATTAGACACTCTTGACATGCAAAAAAGAACTGAAAAGTGTGTTTAATGTTTGACTTTAAAGTCAGGTAACATGAGTAGCCTAATGCCAAATGTTGAGAGGGTTTAATGGAATACTTTCATCAAAAATTCTACACTGGGACGGGCTTTTAAGCGTATTTTCTCTTGGGAAGGCAATTAATTTTTACAATTTCATGATAGTTGAGGGAGTCAGACTTTTTGGCAGTGTTCCATTCAAACTCAGCCCTAAATGAATGGGTTTGTGCCAGCAGGAAAAACAAACTTGAAACAGAAAGGGGGGTAGCAGGGTAAAAGGGGACAGTAACACAATCCCTAAAAACAGACTTTATCTGCTCCAACTATGTTTGACAGGGTTCGTTTGCAGAATCTCAGGGGATTCAAGATTTCAGAGGGCACTGGTAAATGGCAGTTGGTGTCAGAAATCATTCAGCAAGAGTTTATCTATATCCAACTGACTGCCACACTGCAGTATTGTACAAGCATTTGCTAAGTGTTCAGGCAGTAGGGTATGGATGTCTATGTATGAGAAAATGCACACTGGCGGGGCTCCAAAAGCAACACGGAGGGTTCAGAATTCAACCGAACATGTTCCCCAACCTCCCGAGGCCATCCGACTCACAAACTGGGTCAAGGTTTATCCAGGTTCAGGTGCAATTTTGTGGGGTCACCAGAGATCACGTTGAGTAACTTAACGGAGACACAGAAGAAGGTTTTTTAGAGTCCAGGTGTGACTTCACCAGTATTGCGTTAATGGTCGTCTGTCAGGTCAAAGAGACTCAAGGAAAGCTGCGGAAATATGGGAATCTAGGATGACTGTGTACGCTTCTCAACTGTCACACGTCCTGTGGTGGACCGACTTCAGCTGACAGCGTGACACTGTGAGCGTCAGACGGCTTTCTGAGAGAGACCTGTGGTTCTGTTTCCCAGAATACATGTCAACTGGGGAAATCTTGTTTAAAACAGATAAATGTGCTTAAAAGGGAATATAGTTTTTCACTTTCTTGGCAGGATGTAAATCTACCACTACAATGCACATAGCTTAGCTTAGCACAAAGACTGAAATAGGGAGGACAGCTAGCCCGGCTCTGCTCAAGGGTAAAAAAAAAAAACTCAGCTAACCTCGTCTAACCACCTCTAAAACTCACAAATTAACAAGTTATATCATGTTTGCTGAAGCCGTACAAAACCTGAAGTGTAAAAATGACAAAAAACGGAAGTTTAAAAATCAACAAACAACACAGGTATTATGTGCGGGACTATTTCTTGACAGGAAGGAGCGACTGGAGTCTTGTTGTCACTGCGAAATTGCCAGGCAACCAGCAGAGACTCCATTGTAACTGAATCTGCTGGAAAATTACCAAGCAACAAACATATAGCAATGTAGATACAGAGATTAAAGCCCTCACAATGATTAACAGCTTCCTGCTGCTGACTTTAAACATTCTTTGGCTTGGTCTATAGTGTTCTTGACAAACTGGAATGAAAAATACGTGGTCACACTGAATCAACCTGATCTCAAAAGGTGTGGGACAAATTAGCCTCAAAGTAGAAATTTGGGGGATGGTAGTTTGACCCCTGGAACTGACAGGAGGGCACACTCCAGCTGTGAGCTGGGACTGTAGGATGGCTGTTACTGTATGAGCATGGATACCTGGACCCCACCAGACTGAGAGCTTTTCAACAGCACATGCAACCAAAAACTGCTTAAGTGATGCTCCACTGCAGCTGGCCCTTTACTCTTATTCTTGAGCAATGTGCAAACTATCAAGACAAATTTCGGTTATAGTACTCTGTGTAAATTATCCAGGGAAGTAAGTTCGCGCTGAGGACAACTGGGACAAATGCTGACAAACGGTTTCTATCATGATCTCACGATCTCACAACACTTCCCAAGAGCTACTTTTCAACAACATATACAAGATGTTGTTATTATTTCAAGCTTGAAAACCATAATGGATGTAAATAAAGTAGGGCTAGGCATATAAGTGATATCAACATTAATAAGAACGTTATCTTATTCATTTTTATGTTGTAATATTTTTCTTATTTGTGTCCATTGCAACAAACTGTGTTTCACAACTATGCACTCCATCAGACAAATATCTTCACATGTTACAACAGAAACTACTAAGACTTATTGCATGATATTATCAAAAGCCAGTTAACAATTATATTTAATTATCACCCAGCCCCACTGTTGAGATTTGACGGTGAATATGCTTTCTCAAGAGCAGCTGAGACATACTGATAAGATACTCAAATTATACATAAGAATTGAAATGATCATTCTCTATATGATGTACGCGGTGCTATGATCCCTTCGGCTGTTAATAATGAGTGAGACAGCTGAATGCACGTAAGACTGCCGGCCTGAATATTAGTTTCATCCGAGTGCCATAGTCATTTGTCTCTAAGGCATTGCTTAGCACATCGCATTAACATCACATAACAGCAAAGCTGCCAAACAATCACGCTGTTCTGCAGGGAAAAAATAGTCAGGAGAGGACAGGAGTTTTTACTGGAACAGACAAGTCACAACAGGACAATGAACCTCTTGACTTGTGAGACCGCATAAAACATTCACACATTAAGAGTTATGATTTCTCTGATCTTTCTGATAAAAAAAAAAAATTGCTTTAATCCTTCCCCTCTACTCTTCAAATTACTACTCAGTGGTGTGAGCATCTCTACGCAGCAACACTTGATTATGTTTCTTTCTGTTTTGTGACTTTTCACACATCTAAAAATATCAGCAAAATAAATATGCTATATATATATATATTTCTGCCAAGCTAATTAAGTTATATTTATAGCTGTGGTTTTAAAATCAGTTCCAAAAGTAAGGCAAACAGTGGGAGTTCATTAGATTTAAGCAGCAGAATGAGTGCAGTGTTATCACAAATGGCTGCTTTGTGCACCATGAAAAATGAGCTTTTTCTTCGACAGCCTCGAGGGAGGAGGCCAGTGACCTTCACAATTTCCCCCCAAAACAGCGGCCGCTACACGGAGGGGGTAACCATGGGGGGCTATGAAGGGAGACGCCGGTGCTCGTGAGCACAGGGGGTCTGAGTCTACCCAAGCAGACCACAAGGAAACCCTTCATGAAACCACCCTCCCCTCTCTTATTTACACGTACAAACACATACACACAAGCACATGCATGCAGATGCACCCGCACGCACACGCACACACTCACACAATGGATGCCTATGCGGTACTTACTGTAATCTATAAACTGTAGTTCCATAGCCACTAATTAAAGAAAAATGTATGACATAAAATATGTGCTTGTGTCAAGTTACATTAATTCAATCGGGAGTCTGTAAATTCTTTCCTCCCTCAGTTTTCACTACAGTACATGCAAAGCTGTTTCAAACTTCCCACAATGTTTGTTTGTTCAGCTCCAAAAGGCTTTCCCTGCTGGAAAGAGCAGCGCTACGCTGATGTTTACTGTAACCATATTCCATTTCAAACGCATGTAGCTTTCTGCAGTCAATGCCCTAGTGTGGCTGACCCTCTTGATCTCATCTCCAAACAAAACTGCACAAACTTACTGTCTACAGTGTCACAAACTCTAACGCCTGTAAGAGCTGCATTAACATCTGACATTAAAAACAATGTTTGCCAATGCAGGCTCAGTCCGTTAGAGTGAGTGTGGGAAACACTTTATGTAGAAAAATGTATTTAGAAATACCATTTCCTGAGGCGCGAGTCGTCGTAGTCACACACTGAGAATAAAGTAAATATGACGAATGAATGAAAAGACTACATTTCCTGTGTACTGTTGATGTGTGTCTTACCTAGATGATATCACCAATCTCTTCCATTTGGTCTGTCTTGTCATTTTTGTGGACACCCTTTACAGAGCTAACAGTGTACAAGAATTGCATGGGTACAACAAATGCTAAAAATTTGAATAAAGTTCCACAGCTCAACCTCGACCTGAGAATGTGTTGCTGCCCTGTGTCACTCCTACCGTGTCAGTGAGACTGGCCTGTTTGACTGGCGGCTGGTCACGGTCCATCAGGCCTGGAGACAGCTGCTCCCTCGGGGCCCTGCTCTCCTCCAGCTCACTCACCTCGGAGCTCTCACCTGAGATTAGGTAGCAGATCATGCATACAAAAGTGTCAGTTTTACCACATGATAACTGATATCTAGCAAGGCAGATTTATTGTCTGTACTGGTTGTCTTCAAAGCGTTTCTCTGTGCGTTTCAATTAAAGCTCTCTCCCCTACCAGGCGGCTGCTCAGCCAGGTTGCGGGTGATGATCTGACGGATACGGGTGGAGACAGGCATTGGCACTGTGAAACCAGACTCCTGTCCATCACCTCGAACTGTCAGAGTCCTCTCTCCTGAGCTGCCATCAGATTGAAGCAGGGACTCCTCCAACTTCTAGAATCACACCAATCACCACAGCACATCGTTTAGCTGAGCATAAAAGGCCCATCTCATTAAAGTTAGACTATGAAGACAGCAGTGTATGAAGAAGTACTCTCAGGTAAGTAAAAGTGCTTACTCAAAAGTGACCATATTCATTACACAGAATGGTCTCTGGAGGTTTATACATTATATATGAGACATATATAGGACATTTCCATCTATAACAATGCATCATATCAGATATCTTTTGTATGAAAATGTTTAATCTGTGAAGTGACTGCAACTGTCAGATAAATGTAGAACTATAAAGTAGCATATAATGGAGATTCTCAAAACAAGTATAAGTATAGTAGTAGTAGTAGTACTAGTAGTATTGTATAAGCACCTAAAAATGTATTTAAGCACAGAACTGGAGTAAATGTTACTTTCCACCAAGGGAGAACAAAATGCACCAAAATCCTAACTTGTCCATTCAAGGTAATTTATTCAGTAAGCACTATTTAATCACTTTACTACAGTGTTCGTATTGGAGTCCAGAAGGTGAGCCTGAGTGCTCAAAAAGAGCTGGTGTGGACAAATGTACATCCGGTCACAGGTAATTATTTCTAGAAAGTTTTGCTTTCAACAGTGGTGAAAATTAACTGACTACATTTTCTCTGGGAGCCAGCATGTACAATCATTAATTTTAATATTTACACTTTTGCAATTCCCAGTTTGTCAGTGTCAAACCACAAAAAAATTGTTAAAAATAATAGTTACGTTACCAACCTGAATCACAGCCTCCAGTCTAGGTGAGTGTGCACCTTCCTCCCGTTGAGAACTCATTGCAAAGCTTTAACAATCAAATGTTAGCCGGTAACGTTAGCGTTAGCTTGCTATAGGCTAATATACCTCAAGATAGAAGACGTTAAATGTTAAATGGCTCAAACAAAACGCAAACCTAACACATCAGTGCAATTGTGTCATGAGATATAAAGAAAGGTACTACTGAACTGACACCTGCGTAAAGGAAAGGCTTGAGAGATGGAAAAATCACTGACAGAACTTTTTAGGACAAGAAAGTTCAGGAGCTACTGCAAGCAAGCAGCACCATTCTAATCCCCAGTCGACGTTGCCAAGGTGACCACGCGCTTCCGGGCCAATTGCCATAGAGATAGAATGCTGGCTTGGGTGTTTCCATGGCAAGACAGACGCCACGAGCCAAGCGGAACCAAGCCACTGGATTCCCGGTGGGTTAATGATCAAGACACTGAAGGCAAAGTGCACAGTCTTTTCCCAATAAAGAATTATCCTACTTCTTGTTGAACATTTTTCAGGGAACACATTTTATCCATAATTAGAGCATTTTCAGTTCAAAAGCCTTAATATACAACCAAAAATAAATAAATAAAAATAAATAAATAATGAACACAGGAGCCCACAAACTGTTTCTACAAAGATTTACTGATTCACAAGCACGATTCAATAACACAAAAAGGAATTCAGATCTCAAACACATGATACAAAGTATAAATAAATACGAGCTGAGCAGCCAAGCTGGCCCTAAAACAACCGAGAATACCTGAGGATCACGTAACACACTATTCTAGGGCACAATGACATCCTGTGATTAACATTCCACTTGTTCTGCAACATATGACAGGAGCATGTTTTTGTGAACTCTCTGACCCCTAAGTTTAGTCCTGTCAGGACAGAATGCCATCATGTTGAATCGGTGGGGAAAAGCTCAGGCCACTGTGATGGGTCTAGGAAGATGGTGGAGACCCCACTGTAGAACCAAAGTCTCGGCAGGAAGCCCTCCACCTCCCAGGTGTTGGACGCTCGGTTGTACACCTCCACTTCCACCCCGTAGTCCCCCTCCATACCTTTCCAATGGCCTCCGGTGACAAACAACTTCCCATCCAGCGTCACCAGGCCGCCATTCTCATGGAGCATGTGCAGAAGCTGGACCTGATGAGAGGGAAAAGTGATCAAATATCAAACTGTCAAGTATAAAACTGATCCTTTTAATTAGTATTTATACCACTGAGTGCATTATTTTGATTGTTGTCAGCAGTGACTCCTAAGCTCACCTTCTGCCACATGTTTGCCTCTGGATCGTAAGAGTAGACTTTCTTAGTGTTGTCAGCAACCAGATATATAATTCCATCCACACAGACAGAACGAGGAGAGGACAAGTACTTAGGGATGAAGGGCGAACATATGCTGATCCAGCCATCTGTAAGAAAGAAAAAAAGAAGATTTAACAGAGTAAAGAATATCCATCATGCTTGGGTTCATCATTTTAATCAACAACTTTATAATGTCTGAACACAATAAATCAGATGACACTGTTAACTGAATCCTTTAACTGCATGCTTGGTTGAAAAAAGCAATTCACAAACAGTATACAGGGATATAGGGAACAGTATATGGGGAACTAAAGTATTAAGTCTTTACATTTCTAATTTCACTACAGAAATTGTAAAATGAAGTTATAGGTGTATGGTTTAGTTATAGGTATAGCAAGTAAAAAGTGATTACAAAGAACTGAGGAAAATAAGCTCCTTTGACTCAGGAGCAATTTCTAGTTATTGCTGATGAAATCTTCTTAACTGAAGAACTAACACATACTGTATTTTAAGACCACAAAAAGCACAGCTGGAAGAAACAGAGCTACAAATGAATCCACCAATAGGGCCGTATGAATTATGACAATTTTGTGATGTATTATCTTTATCATTTAATGCTGCAAATTTGAAAATAACAAACAAACAGTTATTATCCCTTCAGCAGTAACGCGGTGCTCCGAGCATCCTTACCTATAACAGGGTTGTAGCACTGCATGGCCAAAGCATTGTACTTCACAGCGCACGAGCCAATCACATAGAGCTTCCCATGACTCGCTGTAGCGGTGAAGTTGGTCACGTATTTTAAAGCGGGGCATGTCAAGGCCCAGGTGTCGTTGTAAGGGTCGTAATGCTCAACCTCAACTCGGTCTGATGTTGTACCTAAAGAGGGGAAATAAAAGTAAAAATAGTGGTAAATGAGTCACGTTTTCATAAACAAATACTTGACTTTAAAGGAAGTGGCGGTGCAATCACACATGTAAAATGCTGCCTGGATTTTAGAGCCTGGTCATATTTGAGTCTATTCACCCACAAAGAAGAAATAAATTCTTACAAAGTATCACAGCAGAGGTGAGCCATTAAGAGCAGATGAGTTTCTAGAGTTTATCAAAGTTTTCCAGTGCGCTGCAGGTTTAAGGCACCACAAGCTGTACTGTATTTATTTTCTTACCTCCGATGACGTAAATCTCCCCGTTGAGTGTTGCCGACGTGTGGTTAGTCCGAGGCCGAAGCATGGGTGCCACAGTAACCCACCTCCCTTCTCTTGTGATGTACTTCCAGGTCTCTGTGGTCGACCAGGTGTTGGTATTCAAACCTCGCGAGCCCCCTGTCAGAAAGACAAGGGCACGCTGTCAAAAGTCTGACAATGTTTTGCATTCCCCATAAAAAATAAAATTTTTTTTACAAAAAAACCAATGAGTTCTGCTCAAAACCATTTATCATCACTCCTTTGTTGCTTGTCAGAAAAGGCTTGCTCGCACTTGACCCACCTGTGACATACACATCATTGTTCAAGGAGACCATGGAGTAACCCCACTTGTTTGGGTTGGGGAAATTAGGGAGCTCATGCCACTGTTCTGCAGAGAAAAAGAAAAAGGGAGTTAATGTTTGAGCGTCATGCAGAGAGTGCAGCAAACTACATAGAAGTTTTCACAAATACAGTATGCAGATGACCAATGTGTGGCTGGGAAATAAGGCAAAGACGCACTGATGTCCTTTGAGGACCATTTAAGTGAAAACAAGTCACAGTTAGGATATTACTTGCTGGCCTGAAACAGCCAGGAAATGCAGCTTTTCTTGCACAACCTTCAACATTGTGGCCAGAGATGTTGTGTCTCAACATAAAACCAGAAATCTTTTTCCTTAATGTCCTACGTGATGAACATGGACAAGGATGCTTTCTTCCAGCTCAATAAAATGCTCATTTGAACTGAGAGGATGATCCAGTTTTGTCACATCCAAACCGCATTCCTGCAGAGCTGTTTTTCTGTCAGCACTAAATTTAATGACCTACAACACATCTGCCAAACTGTTTTGTGGAATCAGAAAGGCACTTCCCAACAATCTTCTGCTGTAAAACGGATTGTGAACTTAAACAAATTTGAAATTGTGATCAGGGGGAGAAAGAATATTTTTACTTGTCTTTGTGTTGTAGAAGGCACAGTTCCTGGGTAGCAGTCTTTGCAGTCTTGGGTCTCTGTCTTCATCTTCATCTGAGTCATCTGAGTCATCTGAGTCATCCAGCGAACGACCTCCCATTACAAACAGCACCTCTTGCAGATTTGGTTGTGGACTCTGAGAGTTGACTCTGTCCAAATATTCTGGTGCCAAATTCATTTTCTAAAAAAAAAAAAAAAAGAAAAAAAAAAAGTCAAAGTCATGATTGTTTTTGGAAATCTATTCGCACTGAGCAAACAAAGATAAGAGCGAAAAGAAGGAGAAACTCACTAACCTCCCTGTGAATTTTTTCCACAGCCTCTCTGCAGCTGGGAGAGGCCTGCACCAGACTGTCCTTCAGCAGGGTGTCAGCCAGGTAGTCCAGGCTGAGTAGAGAGAGACGGGACAAGGTGAGGAGTTCGGGGAGGTGGCAGAGCCGAGACTCCTTGTGGTGACTAACCCATTTCAGGATGGCCTCCACACGGGTGCATTCTGCCCGGATTTGTAGTCCTTCGTCAGACAGGCAGGAAACCAGTCTGTCTTTTCCTGACAGCAGAAACTCCTCCCCTTGCTGTACAGCCTCAAAGTTCTCCAAGAGGAAAGCCCACGCTTTGGCCACCACCTCAGGGCAACCGTGGATCTCCCCAAACTCCAGGATTCCCAGGCAGTTGGTTGCGTCGATCTGGTGCTGGAGGTACCGGCTGCAAACGGTTCTCACTGTCTGGAACTGCAGCTGGCTGGAGGTGCAGATCAACCCCTCCACATTGCTCTGGTTGATGGTTAGTTTTCCTGTGTAGGCAAAGTCCAGCAAGTAGCTTAGGATGTCAGGGTCGACATCATGAAGCTCCACTCGAGCGGCTATGCTCTCCACAAAGTCGCCCGAGAACATGCAGCGGAAATACATGCTGCAGAGTGCCAGCACGCCACGGTGACAGGGGAAGTCCCGACCGCCTGCGCTCAGCGTTACATCAACCAGTTTAGGGTGAGAGCAAAGTGAACGCAAGCCCTCCAGGATGCTCTGAGGATGGGAGGACAGGCAGAAGTCCAGGTCATCTACATTACGCACCATGGTCAACTGTAGTTCAAAATACAGGTCAAATCTTCTTTCAGCAGGGAGGGTCAAAACGAGGTTCAGAGCTTACCTGCAGGTGGAGAAAAACAAATCAATATGCAGGAGAAACAATTATAAAAACCTTTTAAAACAATGTTTAAGACGAGAGAGCATCAATAACTTTCTGCCAAAGCGTTCCTGATAACAGCATAATCTATTTAAAAGACAGTTTTGATTTTCCTGCATCGCACAGAGACGCTGGAAGATTTATTACTTCCACAAAAGTGTTTTATAATACATTATTTATCCATCTAATAGTAAAATTAGTTGTTAATTAATAGTTTAATAAAGTGTATTTTTCTTTACTATGGAACAAATTAAAAACCCTAAGAAATACAGAGAATCATTGAGAAGTTTTGAACTTAATCTTGCTCCTCAGTGACCTTTCTGATTCAGTCTCCCTTATCAAACAACAAAAACATAAAAAGTGTCATGTAAAAAAAAGCTCCTTGCCTTTTAAGTGTGGCAGCACTGTGCGGTTAAAAGGACTAGAAAGTACTTTTGGCTCAGGTTTAATACGATATGCTGTAACAGTATGACTCGAATCTCCTCCAAAGCCAACAATAAATTACATTTCCTGTCATCAAATACTGTGAAAATAAGTAAAAGAAAAAAAAAAAAACCAACAACAACAACAAAAAAAAAACTCACCACAGAAGAGGAGAATGGAAATAATGGCTCATCCTTCCAGTAAAAAAGCTGTTTGTAGCTGAGCAGCTGGTTAGATCAACATGGAGCGGGCAGCATGGCGGAAGGCTTTTGCCAAGTCACTGGGACGGACTGCCTGTCTTTCCCTCAGTTATTTTTAGGACTGACTGACGCTGTGTTGAAATCAGAGTCCAAACAACATGCATGAGACCCACAGCTGCTGTTACAGGCACATATTTAGCATTTTCTAACTGTCCCTGGACGCTAGCGAAGGAGATAAACGGCAAGGCACCGATGATTTTGAATGTTACAACTGATTAACAATACAGACATGACGGTCTGTAGTGCTGTTCATCACATGGGGTTAAGATGTTGTACATGAATTTTATTTAAGGTGCCTTAAACATGTAGGAAATTAAAGGAGATGTGATATTAAAATAAATTAAAGTGTGCAAAATATGGTAATAATCAAATATTCAAGGTATCTGTGTCATGATTTATTTTGTAGTATTGTTGAAACTGGTGTGTTTCCTGTCTGTCCTAAGCTTTCTAAAGAATATTTACCATAAAATGCTCTTACTAAAAGGAAAAAAAAAAGTTTTCATTAACCTAAAACCACACTAGTTTGCTTTAAGCAGTCTTTTGTAACAGGGCTGGGTATGGTTTGAAATTTGTTGATGTCATTTTCAGTTTGATACCTGAGTTTCAAAACCAGTACTGAAATATCTAAATATCCTAGTACTACAAAAACAACTTTTTAAAAATTTAACAAAGTCTAAACTTCTGAAATTCATTGATGTTTAATGTTAAACACAATAAAATACAGTATAAAATTAACAAAAATTATGATTCAAATTAGGCAATATCTGATAATAAGTAAACAAGGCTACGGATCTGGCTGAGCGTTCAGTGCCAACGTTCAGTATTTGACAGTTGCTACAGACAATTCAATTCACAATTCAAAAAGTATTTAGGTTTGATACCCAGCCCCAATGTCATCTACTACAAAGCATACAAAAATATCCCAAAAAAAAAAAAAGACACAAACAACTACTCGAAATCAAAAATCTCTGCCTCTTTCTCTTTCCAAAAAGCGAAACTACGGTCGATGTATTTACAAATCTCTTCATTGCTGAAACTGGAAATGTCAGTGCCGCCGTAGAGCTTCCCCTCATCGGGCGTGGGTGTCTGTACGATGACTTTAGGGACCTGTCTAATCTCTGGGAGGCTGTGTTTCACCACTTCCGCGGTGCTTTCGGTCTGACTCGCAGTGTTCCCGAAGAACTTTACTTTGATGTCCTCGAAGCCGTCCTTCCACTCGCGGTTTCCAGCCTCGATGTCCTGTATGACGGCCTTATGGAAGTCCCTGACCATCTCCCAGGGGAAGCCCCCGACATGGTCGAACACCTCGAAACACAGCAAGTGCCTCATTTTGCGTTCGTCCACAGGCAGCTCCAACTCCAGGATGTGGAAGTAGCCCAGCATGAACAGATCCAGGGTCAGGTTGTCGTACTCCACGGGCACGCCGTCCAGACGAGGGAGGAACTGCTCTGGGGAGTAGAGAGCTTTCTGCCTGTGCAGCCTGTGGATAACACCGCATCGGTTATTCAAAGTGTGTTAACTCTGCGGCTGCATTATTTTCATTATGGATTACTCTGTCAAACATTCCAATTAATCGATTCCTCTTTCAATCAGAGGATATTGGAAAATTACCCATTAATATTTCCCAGGGCCCAAAGTAATGTTTCAAATTGCTTGTTTTTTTTTCCTGACAAACTGTCCGCGGAGCAAAGATATTGAATTTAGAATAATATTTTTAAAAAGCTCCAATCCTCGCATCTGAGAAGCCAAATATCTGGAATTTTTTTTTAGCCACGCCAGCAGGGTGTCACTAATGATAGCAATGTTGGTCTGTTAGTTGCTTAACCACTGGATGGATCACCATGACATTTTGTACAGAGGTTCACGGTTCCCACAACATGTATTCTAATGACTTTGGTGATCCCCTGGCTTTGAATCTAGCCCCAGAGGTTGGTTGTTGCTCCCAGTGTGAAGAGTGTCAGTCCTCTCCCTTTGGATATTTGTGTTACTGAATAAACTTTGGGTAATTTCACAAATTAACCGACCAAATTTTGGTGAACATACACATGTGAAATTTGGCGCAGTTTCACTAGTGCAGTTTGAGAACTGTAACAGACGCTGCCGCTGTGAAGTGTCCCTACCTGCGAATCTGCCTGGACGGGACACTGGAGATCATGCTCCTCCAGTTTCCCAGCATCTTATTGACGGCACTCCTCTGCTTGAAGAAATGCCCCAGAGAGCTGTTCATCATCTTTGACTGGGCGCTCTCCACGCTGCCTCTACGATCTGACCCCGATTTGTCGCCCATCCCCGGGCCGCTGCCACCGCTGCCGCCAACACCACCACCACCGCCACCGCCGCCACCCATCTTCCTCTCTGCAGCATCCTTGCTCTTCAGCGTCACAGTGTAGGCGGATTTCTTCCAGTGGCCTAAGAACAGCACTACTATGCGCTCTTTTCGGAGGCTGGTGGTCTCAAGAACATCTGCGACATTTTCGTCATAGTCGATGCCGGAGTCGCTGTTCTGGTCTGTTTCTTGGGCTGGACTCGAGACTTGAAGCTGTTCGTCCGACTCCGTGGCCTCAAGCTGCGTGGACGAACTTAACATGATGGCCTCCTCCTCCTCCTCCTCCTCCTCCTCCTCGGGCTCGTCCGACAAAGGTGAGTTCTGTGTCTCAAAATTAGACTTCAGCGTCCTCACAGACACTCCGAACTGATGGATTTCATCCTCTATCCTCTCCCTGCGTCCCCTGGTGGAGTTCTGTCTCTCTGGGGTCTGAGAGAACACGGTGATCAGGTCGGTGTTGGGCATCTTGCAGTAGGGCTGGTCCGTCAGGTTGCTCATGAGCAGAGACATGCTCTTCACGATGCCCGAGATGCGGCCGCACCACACAGGGAGAGGGACTTGACTTGTGAAGTTTCTGAACTGCGTGTTGACGGTGATGTTGACTATGGGCGCCGGCAGGATGTGCCTGAGCTCCTCGGCCAGACGAGCCAGCTCCAGCTCGTAGCCCTCGCAGTTCCTCTGCATGGAGACGTTGGCGATCTGCTGCTCCAGATAGATGAGGTCATCCTCAGTCAGCAGCTCACCAGAGGGCCCCAGGATGGCATTATGGGCTTGGGAGTACCTCCAGCTGACTTTGGCATATCTGTTCCCATTTTCCTTGAAGAGAAAGCAGATAAAAATGCAGCATGTCGTATTTAAAATGGCTTAGACATGAGAAGAAAAAGAGTTATGATACAATAAAACCGTGATCCAAACCTCATTCAAACCTCAGAAACATGACTTGACTAGCACAGTGTGTTGTGTTCAGTGATTTGTTATATGCAATTAAAAGTAAATGATGGTGAAAGTGTTTTTTTTTTTGGTGATGCAGATTTAGACTAGCATCACACACAAACCAGGCCACGGTTTTCGCTCTGCTCATTGTGGTCTGCTCAGGCTCAGTAAAGAGATGATTTCATCTTAAGTAGGCTGTACACAACTCTCTACGGCTGCAACTACAAATATATTGAATTTTGAATTGAGTAAATATCCATCACAGTTTCCTACATAATTCAAATGACTTGTTTTATCCAACAAACAGTGAGTCAAATGATTAATTGAAACTCAACATGGTGATTAGTTGACTAAACAAACTCCAGGAGCTTTCTGTGCAGATGTTTATTTTTTTTACCTAAACAACATCTGGTGAAAAATGAATCATGCAGAATCATGTCAATTTTCTTTTCTTTTTTTTTTTTTTTTAAATCTAAGTCTAAATCTGTTAGATTTAGACAAATAGAATAATACCTTCCTCCTCTGATCCTCCTCATCCAGCAGCCTGGCCTGCAGCTGTCTCACCATCACTTGCCTCTTCCACTCGGCAATGGGACGGCCTCTCTCATCGTGGGTGGGCACCAGGTAGTCGATGTCTGACAGGTTGGCCTCTTCGGTGGGGAGAACCACCATCTTATTCTGCGGAGGAAAACAGCGATGATACTGTAGTTACCAGCATTTTAGCTAAAGAGAAGACGGATGTACAAAAGTAGGAAAGCTTATTGTTTGCTCACTGCTTGTCCAGTGAAGACTCCTGACATCCCTGATTGCCTCAAAGATTGAATGGACTTCATGTCCCCAAGAAGTTTTCTTTGAGCCAGGAGGTTTGCATCAGGCAACATCGTCTTATCAGCAGAGACAGTTATTTCACTCCCAGCTGCTTTGTGCTGATTGAAACCTTTAATAACTGAAATACAAATCACAGCCACTCGGTCTGACTCATAACACACATTTTCTTCCACTGAGCAGTGACTTGCAGTAACCACTAAATTACCTAAATACAACTGGTTGTTTGACTTGAGTAATTAAAGAGGGATTCAATTAAATAAACAGAAATGTTCCTCTCACCAGATGTTGCTATTTGAACCTGCTCTATTCTGCTGACGGTGTGATTCTGTGGCTCGGCAGGTGTGGGTGAAGCTGAAGGTGAAGCGGGCGCAGGAGGGTATCTGGCCTGCGGGGAGTCCTCACTCTCGGGTCGCTGGTTTGGAAAAACAAAGAGACACGGCGCATTTGCTTCAGGTTATAATATGAAATAACAAAAAGTTAAAAAACAAAACAAAACAAAACAACTCAGGATTTACCTTTAAACTATCCATGGGTGTGTCACCGCTGAGACTGTCCCTGCATGTGTCGCTCAGGCAGCCGTAGTAGTCGTCCCCGCTGCGCTGCAACAGCACAGTCGGCTTCACCTTCTCTTCTGCCTCCACTGGAGAGATCGCCTCGATGGGCCTCTCTGCACAGAGTGTCTGCAAGTATCACAGTTAATACTATATGTAAGAACTTTGAGGACCGAGTATGATGATATTCACTCAACTTATGGGGAAAAATCAAGAGGTTTCAGCTGACACGTGGCGAAAGTATTTCTTTTTTTCCCACTGTGAGAAACAAAGGTCTCATTTCTGAGAATAGGTGTGTTCTTAAAATTCAATCAACAACAAAAACCTTGTTGACATCTCTGTATCTGTGACGTATCACCTTACATCCTCCATGCTCAGACACCTCAGATAAAATAGTTTGTGTGACGAACCCGACCTTGGTATGACTGCGGTGACATCTTGAGTGGAACCTGGAGATGAGATTTCTGTTGTTTTCCCAAGTAAGAAAAAAAAAAATCTCACTTTCAGGAAGACAGACTGATATTACTGGATGGGCTTGGATCGTCTCCTGAACTGCCACATTGCAGTCTGATGAAACTTCACATTTTCCGGTACAACACCGTAACAAAGTTGGACACCTGTTGGCCCTTTTTCTAAACTATCATTCAAACAACTCCTTTACATCCAAAGCTGCTTTTCCTGCTCTCTTCTGTTTTAGGAAACACCAGGTAACCATCCAGGTGTGTCTGTTAACAACTGACTTTTGTATTTTGGACTTCTCTCTGTCCTCACAGACACAGATTTCTCTTCCTTATGAACAAGACTCTTTGCTTTTTAAGTGAAAAGTAAACTGTGTGAAAAGAGAACTTGTATTTAAAGATAAGCAAATTAATGCATCTGTGATCAATGCTTTCGAAGCAATTGGCAATTGGAGAAAAACAGTAACAGAGGTCGTCATAAATACATATTTTACCACCAGAAATCTTCCATCAGTGGCCCTTTTCACATCTTTTGATATTTAAGCGCATTGCTTTCTGAGCATTGTGCAACTTTAGAGTGACTGAAACTGAAAGTCTGGACTTCGACTTCAGTCTCAGTGTCACAATTCATCACCAAAGTTAAAACGAGTCGAGCGACTCTTTCTGATTATTGTACGGGAAAAAAACTGACGTGAGGAAACTTATTACCGGCAGCTACAGAGTGGCTGGTATTATTTTCATCTCATGAGTCTGTGTGTGTGTGTGTGCGTGCGTGTGCGTGCGTGCGTGTGTGTGTGTCATCATGGCAAAATGTGGTCGTGGAGGCGCTTACTGTATCAGGACTTTGGGAGGTGTTTATGTGTCCGTCTGTGTGTCTGCGGACAGATTCTGTCACCGCGATAATGTCACAACTGTGCAAGATACAGTCACATAACGTTGTAAAGGACTACTAAGTACTCACGGGTCAGAACGTCAACGTGTTGACAGGAGTCCCTGCTGCTGTGATCCCATCACAAGATGGTCTCTAGTTTCCCTTAATTTTGTTGTCAATGACAATATCCGTCCCTCATATTATGTATTTGATTCTGGCCAAAGATAGAGTGAAGTGTAAGTTAAGTAATTTGGGGTTAAGCATGGAAGTAAGAGAAAGGTTGGTTTTGTTTTTAGAGCCAAAATGATGCTGGTAAAATATTACTTTATTTCTGGTGAAAAAGAAATGAACAGATGAAGATTTTTAATGTGCAAATGGAAACTAACAGATCAAAACCTATCAGCGCCTGACGACAAGCAGCATGAGAGACTAAAGAACAAAACAAGTACATGGGATAGTAAGCAACCTTGAATAATTGGCAGCTTTTCACACCACTCTGGGGAGGATGTAGGATGTATGGAAACATTTAGATCCCCTTTAATGAACCTGCATTGTCCTAATGCACTCCATGCAGAAAGCATATCAAATTCAGCTCTCCAAGGACATTATTAGTAACCAAAACATCAAAGGCAGCTCTAATATGCTGCTGCATGCTGTTGTGCTTTGTGTCCGTGAGGTGGTCCTTGCCATTTCCTCTTACACTTTGATGTCGAACAGCACGAAATATGCTGTGACACTGCTCAGGCGGAGGAATAAACTTCCCAGAAGTTGTGCAATCCATAAATAGATAAACAAAGTGGATGGGAAAAGTGGAGAGGGAGCCTGATTCCTTTGTGACCCTTCTCGTAACAGTTCAATGTCCTAAAAGCTACAGCGAACCGGCCCTTGTGTGTGTGTGTGTGTGTGTTTAATTAGACCCAGTGGCCAGAGAGCATTTGGTTCTCATCACCACCCCATCACAATTGCCACGCAGATATAGATAGCCTAACCCTGTTTTTGGCCTGGATACGCTCTCCCTCTATCAAAGACCACAAAGACCCTGATCACTACAGATTACAAGCCAAGAGTTAAGAAACAGCTACTCAGTGCTGTCTCATTGTCAGACATGCAACACCAGTAATCTGTGGTCCCGGCGGGCCGAGCCGTGAGAGAGCTCCAGTGAGTCGGAACACCGAGTGTATTTAAGAAACATGTCTAGTAATTCTGTGCTCTGGAATCAATCACTGAAACAACCTGCTTCCACGTGAAATATTCACGTTCTTCGGTGATAAATTGCAACGTGGAATGTATACAGCGCGTGTACGTTATACACAGAACACTACAGTGTAAATACATGTCCACTCACATGTTAAAATACTCTCAGGTTTCCTGCGTGGAGGTAAATACTTGTGAGGTTAATAACTGACGGACACAAACATTTACAGCTTTTTTTTTTGTTGTTGTTGCTACTACTTCCTGCTGCAATACTGTAATTACTGCTGGAGCAGAGAGTATATCTGGAAACAGTGCAAGATTCAAAAAAGGAGAGAAAAAAAAAAATCATGTCCAGTTTTCTAATATCAAACAATGACAAACTATAGTAAGGTCACGAGCCTGGAGTATTAGTCATGCCTGACCGTAAGAGGCTATAACTGATCAGAAAGCAGGTTAAACACTGCCAGAAACATCTGCCAGAAAGGGACTCTTGAATAGCAATGACAACACTTCCATTTTACAAAAATAATTACTCAACCCTTCCAGTAACTTACTTATGAAGAAATGATTAAAGTAAGGTAATAAAGAACTACAAAAAAAAAAGGAATACCAGCAATAGTGTCGTAAATACAAAAAGACACTGGAAGAGATCAGTAAACCGACCTGAAACTCACCAACTTTGACCGTGAACAAATTCTCCCAATGCACCCTGGTGCGACGGTGAAACTCCAGAGGCGCCGGCTCGTGCAGGTGCACCCAGGTGTCCGGAGCAGCTACTCCGCGCTGAGGATGTGAGGCTATCTTAAGATCACCGACCACTCGTTTCACACCACCACCAGCATCTCTGCCAGTGGCCGAGGGCCGCCAGGCAATAAACAATAAACTCTGATCGGAGAATGCTGTTAATAATTAAGAGAAAGGATAGGGTGGCCGGTAATGTCGCTAATGCATGGACAAACCAGTGGCCATGTTGTTGCACGAAGGGAGGGCATCAGTGGAAGACTTGTCAAAGCAGCTGGAAAAGAGACATTTTATCCAGACGTGTTCAGCCGATGTTTCCACTTGGGACAATTGAATGGGGGAGCTTTTATTTTTTGGAGCGGGCGGAGGTGGGGTGGACACAAAACGTGACACCGTAAGCCTCAATCAATCGGCTTCCACTGTTAATGTGGAAAAAGCTGACAACAACCACAGTGTGTGGCTGAAGTCCGCCAGTAAAGAAGAGGTTCACAACAGTTGATGTCTGTCTTTAAACAACAGACAGGTGCCTTGCATATTACAACGCTACAGGATTTTCTCTCAGTTCATAAAGGCTGTGAAAGGTGTAAGTGATAAAGGACAGAATCCATTAGATTCAACACTTTATCTGAAGTTAACGTGAGCATGCGTTAGACAAATCAATCTGCATATACATTAAAATTGATTTGGGCACCGACCTCTGAAATACAGAGAACAAATTATAATGTTTTACACATTAAAATCCAATTCACAGTAAGTGTATCCACCAAGAGTCCAAGACCCAGTGACATCTGTACCTTTTTAATTACATTTTATTTTCATTAAAAAAAAAAATTCATTGTTAGATGATCAGCTAATTGATTAATGGACACATTGTTGCAGATATAAGAGCATGTGTTTTGTTTCTCATTGCAAAAAAAGAAATCTAGAGCATGTCCTAAAAAACACAGTGATGTGTTTCCTCTGTCCGTTTCTAAAAATACCGTTCAAACAGCAGTAACTCTGGCCTGATCGCCAGTGAATGGAGAGCAAATACGTGTGAAGTAAACCTCACGCCACACACTTGTTTATTTGATTGCAGCTGTTCCTGAGATGCGAGATGAGGAGGAGAGTTTGACAGCGCTGAACAAGTCTGACCTTGTTGTGAGCGATCCAAACATGCAGGCGAGGCCAAATACGCAGCTCTCTCCGCTCGATGTCTCAATCCATTCAAGGTCGCTGCTCGGAAATGAGATTATCTGACTGACACTTTAGAACCGACGAAACCCGTGATCTGCGCAGCCACTTTACAAACGTGAAACCACCAGCAGAAATGTAATTAAGGCATGTGTACTTGCACAGCTCATCTCTGGCAGAGTATAGGTTTCAAAGCATTACATATAG